TGTGCACTGGGAAAGGGGGGGGGGGGGGGGAAGCTTTATTTCCTGTCTGAAAAATAAGGTCATTATGTTCATTCTTAGGTAAACTAGAACATGTTTTTAAAAATGGAATTTAAAAATTGTGGTTGAAAATTTTTGAAATAATATTTGGGAAGAACTTTTGCATATAAACTGTATAGGTGTGGTTCCTTATTTAGTAGAGGAATTGCCTTTTTAATACTGTGTTTGCATTACAAAACCTTGCATTTCTAGTTTTAGTTAATCAAAGGTGTTTTAATTGCAGTACGCTTCAGAAGATGCAGAGCTTCTATTAGTTGGAAATAAACTGGACTGTGAAGTTGATCGAGAGATTACTCGACAGCAGGGAGAAAAGGTAAGAACAGGTCTAACCAAATTCTTAGTTACTATTAGAAGCAAAACAACTGTGGCATTGCTACTGAAGAACCATAGCTACTCTTTTTCAGACTGTTAGAATTAAGGAGCATATTGAAGTGGTGGTGTTCTGTCATAATCCATATGGTATTTACTTTTATAGAATGTGCAATTATATGCTTTTCTGCTGGAGCAGTATGTCTTTGCTCTAAAGAAAGGATGGACTGCAAGTTGGCTTACACTACAGAGTAGTGCAGGGGATACTCATTTTGGACTCTGAAAGAGGATATAGTGAAGACTGGAATCAAAATAGAGATTTCTCTACTCAGGACATCTTTGTGAACCTTCTTCCTGGTGTTTGCTTTTCAGTAGTATTTTAAGACAGGCACAGCCCTGCCTGATTATGTTGCTCACCTTTGTTTTCATGTTTCTACATTTCTCTTTCAACTCTGAAAGTGATGAGGAACCTGACAAAGAGAGTATGTTTCAGTATAACACTCATAGCACCATCTTGATCAGGACACTATCAGCATGGATGTACACAAACGTTTTCCTTCAGATCCCCATCACACATTTGGAAGTAATGCAGTTTCTTATTAGAGAGTCAAAGCTAATTCTTACATCTGTACTTCCATTTCTGCATTTTAGTAATAAGTGGAGATTAAGTCTTCTAAAAAGTTCTTACTTCTTTGGCAATCTGCAGCAATCCATGTCAACTGAAGACATTAATTTCTCAGATTTAAGTCTGGAAAAATGCAGCACTTTTTGCAGTGAACCAATTTTAAGTGAAAATTAGCTATGTGTGTCAGTATTTGTTGTACCTTGGAGATTCAGGATTATTAATAGAATTAAACTTCAGTCACAGATTTGAGGAAAGCTGTGGGATTTTTTTAAAGGTTTTATAAAGAGCAGACATTTTCTGTTTGTTGCTGTTTGTGCATATCTTTATGTAGTTATTTTATTTTCTCTTCCATCAGTTTGCACAGCAAATAACTGGGATGCGGTTCTGTGAAGCAAGTGCCAAGGATAATTTTAATGTGGATGAAATATTTCTAAAACTTGTTGATGACATTCTGAAAAAGGTAAAACGTTCAGGTGGTAGTGCCTCTGACCACATAAGTGGTCAATGTTTAAGTAAGCACTGCAGGTACTTGTTGGGAGGACGTAGAGGGCAAGTGCACACAGTCAGGTGAAATTTTTGGTTAATGTGTAGTTAATGATGTAGTTATGGACACTTCAGTTAATAAGTACTGCTGTTGAATTTGGTAAACATCTGGTCTTATTTGCCATGCTTCCTCTTTCCCATAACTTTACCATGTATCAGCAGCTGACTCTACATTTGCCTGCATTCTGTTGTGATTTGTTGTAATTGCTTTAGGAAGTGACTTTATTTCAACAATGACTTGTAAGTTGTTTCTGAAAGAAGTTCTTAATGCAACTTAGTTGAATGTAGTTCACTAATAAGAATCAAAAGATCCTTAAATTGTGGCTTTGGCTGAGGGTGAACTCGTGAAATGAGCTCTTTGTGCCAAGTTCTGTGCAGATGACTGTTTACAGGTGATTTCTCTTTTCTTTAAGATGCCACTGGATGTTATAAGAAATGAGTTGTCCAACAGTATCCTGTCCCTGCAGCCAGAGCCAGAAATCCCACCAGAACTGCCTCCTCCAAGGCCACATGTCCGTTGCTGTTGACTTGTTACTCCATACAGAGAGAAAAATAGGAGTGGGAGGGTAAAGGAAGTATCTGTACTACTCTGCACTACAATCATTTGGCAGTTTCTTGTTGCACTTTGTTATTCGAGTCAGAGCTACACACTAACTTGTAAATATGCAAATATGCAATCCTGTGTAGGATTCAACTATAACATTTAAATATTACCCCTCTCCCTCACAACGATGTTTCATTCATTGCCCCAGTGTTATAAATACTGTACAGTCGGTGGGGGTTTACCACACTTCCAGTCGAGGAGGAGGAGAAATTAAATCTATACCTATTCTTGACATAAATGTTGTAATAGTTCTTGTTATTATAAACAGGCAGGCAGAAGCTCTTCTGGTATGAAGATAAGTATATGGTGCTTTGCTAACTATTTTAAAGACAAATTTTTTAAAAACAGAGGACTTTATGTACAAAGCTTCCATAATCAGCATTATGTTTCCTTTTAATGTAGTGAAAACATTTTTGGCTGTAGCATCCTCTGCTGACTGGATTTATTGAAAAGCTAAGTTTAATTTTTGGCAGTCTTTTATTTATTTTGTTTAATGCTGCACCCTTTCTTTGTGTACCAAGATGTCACACCTGGTGCAGGCCTAAGATTGCACTCTGAAGTAGCATATATAATTTTCTGCATAAGCATAAACTTGGTTGCAAGAATCATTAAGTTTCAATAAAAGAATGGAGATATATTCAAGCTCTAAAAGAAGATATAAAAAGCAATGCTGCTGTCCTAGACAAATTCTTTAAAAAATTAAAATTAAGATGATACATTTTCCTGTGTTAAGGAATATATATGTGTATTTGTCTGGACATCTGTAGGGATGGGGGGAAGGGAACCTAAGGTAAAATTATTTTCTTTCCTAATGGTGGAAATTATTCCCATCAAGCAAATATTGTGTTAGGGTTTTGTCTGATAATGAATTTGTGAATTATATCTTTGGTATATCTTTTATTAAAATGCACTGTTTAGTTTAGCTGTGGTAAAACAGTAGTTACATATTTGAATAACTTGGTGTGTCCTGAATGTTGTGGTATTGAAAAACATTGTGGTCTTTCTAAACTAATGAAGTGCAAATAAAATTTTGTATTTATGAATGACAGTGGAACTGCACCTGTTATTAGAATGGCAAGTATCAAATGATGGGTAAAAGGTAGAATCTGGAATATGGAACAACACTTGTCTTAATTTTGTTATGATTTAACTTTCAGTTTGACAGTTCCTTTAGGTGTAGTCAGAAGAGCAGCAGACATTTATTGTTCACCTTGATCGCTGCTCTGCTGGGAAAGCAGCTGCTGACCTAGCCCAGCTGATATCTTCAAGTAGCATGTGACTGTTTGTCATGCTGTCTTAGCAGGTGGTCGCCAAACTATAAATTACACTGGCAACACAAGTATGAACCAGTCTTTTTTACACTACAGCTTCTCTACTTCTCATTCTCTGGTGCTGGAACCCATTTTGTCACTTCTGCCACTCTTCTAGCCAGAACAATGGCACTTGACCAGTCAGGTATACCACTGACTTAAGCAGCTTCTCTCTGTTTTCTGGAAGGAAAAAAGACACAGCAAACTATTAACATTAAAAAGAAAAAAAAAAAAAAGAGCTCTTATTTCACAGAGTAAGCTCGGACATTCTGAATACAATACCATGCAGGTCTGTAGCACACCTGGATTTCAACTGACAAATTAAGGAAGCATGGTTGATATTTGTGCTTATGTCTTCTGCCACCTTGTGCCTAAACAGTTTGCTTTTTTTACATGGTAAACGTAGTTTACTATCATATTGGTAAGATAAAATCAATTTCTAAAGTACTTGTAGGATTTATGATGGTACTGTGGGCAATAGCAAGGAAGGGAAAAATATGGAAAATTAGTTTTAACTTGACAACCATTTTATTTTGGCTGTTTTCTTTTTATTTGTACTTAGAAACTTGTGATTTTTTTTTCCTGCAGTTTTTGAATTTAATAAAAATTAAGACATTTGATATAGATACACTTTCTTGTAATTCTGTGCTGTTTGTATATAGGTAGATTGGAATCCCAGTCTCTTGTACCAAAAATTTTAAAATACTGCATTTAAGAAAGACGTATTTATGTAAGAATGTTTAAATGTATTTGATTATTCATCGGAAATCATAAAAAGTTCAGGAAACTTGTTTGCTTTGCATCTGTTATACAATGAGACTGAAGAGGGTTTTGTCTCCTAATTTCATCTCTGCAACTTTCAAACAAGTCAAAAAAAAGTTCATTTGTGTCCTTGCCCCATCTATCAGGCATTCGCAGTGTGGTGTGGAAAGATGGGTGGGGAGAAAAAAGCTACTCCACTGCCTCGTATGGAAGCTCAGCTGCCCCACAACCCTTGTTGAGATCTAGTGATGGACTGTTTGAATGGTCTGCACAGCCATTTTCACAGGATGAAAAAAAGGGGAAGGGGAGCACTAGCTGCAGCTTTAAGTCTGTTCTAACCTGTGTTAACAGATCACTGTTCTTCAGGAGCCCTGGTTATGGGTAGCCCGTTCCCACTCTTCTGAGTGTGTGTGAGGATCGTTTTTCTTCTGATACTGAGCTCAATGTGCTTTACCACTAAACTCATCAGATGCTGCTGAGGTCCTCTAGTCCCTGGCAGTTTCTTCATGCTGGAAAAAATACATAGAAGTGTCTTTCAATACACAAGCACGGCAAGCACAAATCACAGGGGTGTCAGAAATAGGATAGTAACATCTGCTCCAAAGTAGTGGTGATTTCTTGACTTTCATGAAATTATCGTAGATAGATAATGGCCATTGAATGGTGGTTTGCCACTCCTTTCAGTGTGGTTAGGATTCAATCCAGTAAATTCCCTAAAGGGCACAATTTCAGTGATATGTCCTGTTAACACTGCATCTTGTAACAAACCAAAGCTCATCTCTATCAAGAGACTGATACAATATTTGATTGTGTCCATAAAGTTTTAGATATGCCTATAATGGACATTCAATCAGGAAGACTGGAAATTTCTCCTCTGTAATAGTGAGTCATGACATGGAAAATGCTGAAAACCACCGGCATACCGGGACATCTTGAATTACACACTGTTGTGCTCTGTGTACTACAGGAATAGTGACAGTCACATCTTCATTTCAGCAGATGTTCTGTTCCTTCAGGGCAGAAATACACAACTTATGTCAACATTTGGTACTTCTGAGAAAGGAGGATGAGAAGAAGGTGGAAAAAAGGACTGGAAGTTACAAGCCAGGATATGGTGACTTGCTGAAGCAAATTTAGATTTGCATGTTTGTGCTCTCACTGGAGATTTCAGCATTCCCTCATTTAATTTATTCTGTTGTTTATGTCACCACACTGGAGGCACAGGACTCTCTGGCGGCGAAGCATTTTCCTTAATTGGTTTGCCTTTTTATCATAAACTGATCATTACTTAGAGTGCTAGATTTAATCAGAATTAGGAATTTGGTGGGTGTTTCTGACTTGGGCAAGGGTTTCTAGCTAATCCAATTAGCCTTGAAAGCCAATAGGTGTCTTACCAACTAGTGCTATTGGTTGACTAAATGGGGCTGTCTTGCTGCCTGTCAGTGCTAGCATCAGTTCTCGGACCCTTTTGCTCAATGCCTTTACCTTTCTGTGTGCTAAAATCTGAGATAGGAAGATTTATAGCAGGTACATTTCTGAGGTGGGAAGGAAAGCAATGCAGGTAGGAGAAGGGGAACAGAGCAGCCAAGCTAGTAAAGAAAGAACGTGAACAAAAACCTTTTCTAGGAGGGGAATGGGGGATGCAGCCCTTTTCCAGCTTGGTCACTTTCCTGTACTGGGAGTTCATTCATAGGAGTTCATCTCTGCAGTCTGTGGAAAACAAAAGGAAAGTGCATCAGCCAGCGTGAATTCATTTTCCCTTTTGGTGTTGGCAGTTTTTCTTTCAGTAGAAACGGTAGTCATTTTGCTGAAGCAAAGAACCCTTTTCCTGACATAAAAATGTCTCATTGCTGTACTAATGACGGGTATCATCTCCCTTTGGGGACAAAAGGCAGAAATACTTGGACTGTGTCTTTCAGATTACTACTGACATTTATACAGGCTCTCGATTGTGCTGATTGCAAGACTTCCTTTTAAAATAGTTTAACATCTCAAATTGACCCATTTAGTCCTTAACATATTTTTATTTCACGTTGAAAGATGTAAAACCAGTTGGCTCTAGTTTTTGAAAAGTTGAATTTGCTTTATCCTAACTGGTTGGCAGGATGACTGTGTTAAACGTAGGGTTTACTTGCCTTTCACTTCCTTCTGACTTAGAACATTTCAAATGCCCAAAATACAATGGTGGCATCCTAGTAGGTACAGTCATCTTGAGTGTGCACTATAAATATAGTCACACTGAATAAGGAAAAGGCGACGTGCCAGAGTTCATACGGGGATGAAATTAGGAGTTCTGTGTACTGTGAATTTTCCTGTTACGGCTTGGGCGCACTGGTGGAGGTTGTCCATTAGGGGTCACTGAAGCTCCACCAGCGAAGGAGTCTGTTACCTGTCCTGTGGGATTAGCGATTGCTTCTTGCTGT